GGGGGGTCGCGGCGATCCCCCCTAATCCCCGCCGTCCATGGAAGAAGGAAAAACGCCATAAACAGAAACTTTTGGCGCTCAGCGAGGATTCCTTGGAACCGCGCTGGACCCCCCGGCTGCGCCTCCGGCGCCGCCCCTGGCGCGCGGAGCGCGCGAGGGAGGGGGTCCAGCGCAGATACAAGAAATCCGCGCGGAGCGCCAAAAGTTTATGTCTATGGCGTTTTTCTTCTTCTAGTCAAGTTGAGCGTACACGTCGGTCGGAAGAAGCAGGTAAACACAGGAAGCTGAAGGCGGATCAGTCAGACTGGGTCCGTGCCCGCCCAGAAAATGACAGGACACAGCAGAAGCAGACCGATACTGTGGATAGAAAGGCGCTTGAAGTAGACCAGGATCTGTCGAGGGTGAACAGAACCCACTTCAGCACACCACCTATGAAAGAAAATTGCCTGGGGCACTCCACGTGCGCACTGTACCGCATTCCGAGTGGACCCCGACGGAATAGCTGATCGACGTCCAAAAACAATCCCACGCATCCGGCGAAACGCACGTCGATCAGCGAATCCGACTGCGGACTGGCACCGGAACACCGGAATGCCGACGTCGAGTGAACCAGTGCGGATTTCCTGTCGACTTGTCTGTGTGCGCGTTCTCTCAATGCCCGAATCTGGGGAACTAAAAGCACCTACTTTCAACGACCGACGAGTAGCTTCAGGTCGGACATGTCCCCATACAGGCCGATTGTGGACGAAACACAAAAATAGCCAACACAAATACACCGACGACGAATACTTCCCCCGTGCCCCCCCCCCGCCCCCAAACTCAGACGCCAGCCATCCATCCGTCAGGACACCCACGCTGGGCGTCGGCCGCGCGTGGCGGCGATGGAAGGTTGGGGGGCGCGGGCCTGCTCCGCGGCGGCGCGGAGGGCCCAGGAGCAGGCGAAGGGGTGTTGGGCGTGGCGAGGGGTGCGGCGGTGAGCGAGGGCGAGGACGGCGCGGGGGCTGCGAGTCAGACGCTAGGCGAAAGCTGGCAAACCCGTGGCTGCTGAAACGGAGCTCCAGGAAATTGTTTTTGTTGATCTGGTAAGAGGCTCGTTTACGATATAGCGCGCTGAGTTTTATTCCGAAAGATTGTTTCTCCTTCTGGGAAGACCGTTTTAGCAGCCACGGATTTGCCAGCCCTCGCCCAACTTCCGACCAACGGTTGGCGTCGCAAAGACAGCGTGCAACACCGGTCTCCGAAAAGCACGCAATCCCCCCCCCCCAAAAAAAAAACTCCTCTGTGCACGCTGTCCCTGTGAGGCGATCCCCCTGCGACGGATCCCGGTGTGCGCGCCACCCCCCTGCCAAGGTTTCTCGCTACCCCCCCCCCACAAAGATCGGCGGCGACGATGAGAGCGAATAGCCCAGGGGCGGGCATTACACGCATTCGCCTGGGAGCCTTGTCGAACACACAGATCGTCGGCGCCCCTGGATACACGTCGGTGGGAAGAAGTAGGTAAAACCATGAAGTAGGAGGGCGGATAAAGTTGATTGGGTCCAGGCCCTCCCAGAGAATAACGAATAACAAAATACAGCAAAAGCGTGCCGATTCTTGAACCGGCGTGTGAGTTTCAAGGAGTCTCAGCTACAGCCTCGAGGCTGAGCCTCAGCCTCTGGGGGGGTTGCCGGGGTGGCTCTGCCGGGGAAGGGGAGGGGGGGAGGGGGGGGGGGGGCGAGTTTCCGGCGGATGCGTTTTTTGACACCCCTCACAAGGATCGTGGCCTCCGAGGGGGTTCCGAACTCGAGTACCACCCCTCCCGCACCAAGAGGCTCCGAGGAGGCCTCCAAGAGGCCCCAAGGGGCGCAGAAGAGGCCCCCAAGAAGCCCCAAGAGGCTCCCAAGAGACCCCCAAGAGGCCCTCTAGTGGCCCCAAGAGGCCCAAGAGGCCCCCCAGAAGCCCCAAGAGGCGCCCAAGAGGCCCCCAGAAGTCCCAGCCAACCACGAGATCCCAACCAGCATCCATGAGGCCTCTGACCCACCACCCACGCACGGTGGCGGGATAGGCCGACGGCCACTGGATCCGCCGCCCCCTGTGGTCTTGCCAGACGTTTCAGGTTTTGGTTTTGGTTCTTTTTCTACAAGAACTCCCCAGTGGGCTTCGGCCCGTCCCGCCGGCCACCCGCAAATTGCCCAAAACCCATCTCTCAATGCCCAAAAACGGCCGTTTCGCTCGGGACATCCTCAAACAATCGCGAAGATGGCCCAAGATGGCCTCCAAGTCCGCCCGAGATGGTCCAAGACGGCCTCCCAAACGGCCCAAGAGAGTCCAAGACGGCCCAAGACGGCCCAAGAGGCCCCCCAGAGGCCTCCCAGACGGCCCAAGAGGCCTCCAAGAGGTCCTCCAGGAGAGTCCGCAGAGGCCAAAATCATTGATTTTCCCTTGGTTTTTGAAGGATTTTGGCATTTGCGCCTTTTCGGCTCCCCGACGGCTCAAGACGGCCCAAGAAGCCCCCAAGATCGCCCAAGAGGCCCCCAAGAGAGCCCCATGATGGCCCAAGTGGCCTCCAAGATGGCCCCTAGAGGGCCCCAAGAGGGCCCAAGAGGCCTCCAACACCCCCAAGATGGCCTCCCAGACGCCCAAGATGGCCTCCAAGACGGCCCTGGAGCATTCCAAGCGGGCCCCAATTCGGCCCATAGAGGCCCCCCAAACGGCTTCCGACGGCTTCAGACGTGCCAGGAACCCCCCCCCCCCCCCCCCACCTCCCCCCACCCTCCCCCCCCCCAAAACCACCCCAACCCCCCCCCCCCCCCAACTCCACCCCAGAACACACCCCCCCCTCCCCCCCACCCGGTTCTCCCCCAAAAACCCCCCCCCCCCCTCACCCCCCCCCTCCCCCCACACCAAGATGGCCGAAGTTGGCTCGAAGCTGGCCCGAGACGGCCCAAAAAGCCCCAAAGATCGCCCAAAGCTTGCCCAAGAGGCCTCCAAGACGGCCAAGATGACCTTCAAGATGCCCACGTGTTCCCGAAGGCTTTCCAAACCGATTCGGGGAACGCGTGGTCCGATAGCTTGGCAGGTCTGGCCTCAACGTTCGGCCACATAGGCGCTTCCAAAATGGCAGGGGGCGGCGGTGATTCGCCGTAGGCGTCTTCGATAAATGCTGAGTGAGAGGAGGGGAGGGAAAAAGAGAGGAGGGACGAGGGCGAAGAAGGATCACATCAGTCGGAGCGCCCCGGATCGGCGGCACTGGCCGAAGGCCACTACAATACAGCAAAAGCGTGCCGATTCTTGAAGCAGGAAGGCGCTTGAAGAAGATTGGCACCTGGGAATCCAAAAATACCTACTTTCAACGACCGGCGTGTACATGTATTGCTCTCCCTTGGGCCACTCGCCCCTTTCGCCGCCTCTGAAAGGATAGGGGCCGGCGGCGCCACTTCGCACGGCACCCTTGCGACGCCAACCGTGGCGCTGCCCCGGGAGGCATCGGCCTTGAACCGCCATCGGCCCAGCAAGCTGGCAGCAGCAGAGGCGGTGGCCGTCCCGCGCAGGGAGTGCGGGGCGGGCCCCCGTCGAGAACGGCGTCTACGACAACGGCCACGATGACGACGACGTCTACGACGACGACGACGCTGCCGACGACGTCGTCGACGTCGACGACGAGGACCGACGACGACGGCGTTGACGGTGACGGTGACGCCGATGGTGACGGAGACGGTAACGCCGGTGGTGACGGTGACGCTCGAGACCCGGGTCGAGCAACGGCGGGCGCGTCTCCTCCCCTCCCCGCGGGTCGCCGTCGCCTTCTCCCATCGCTCCGCGCAGAGGCGCGGAGGCTCCCCGCGCGCTGCTGGCGGCGGCAGCAGCAGCTGGCAGTGCACTCCTCATCCTCGTCTTCCTCCTCGTCCACGTCCACGTTTGCGTCCTCGTCCTCCGCGACATCCTCCGTCCTTGTCCTCGTACTCGCTGTCCTCGTCTTCATCATCAGCCTCCTCCGCATCCTCTACATCCTCCCCGTGCTGCTGCTCATCACATGTGCCTCCCCGTCCTCCCAATCCTCCTCCCCATGATCCTCGCCAGCATCCTCACCCTCGTCCTCGTCCGCACGCATCGACATCATCCACATCCGTTCATTGCCTCCGCTTCGATGTCCGCCTTAGCTTGCTCATCCTGTCTCCCTCTCTACTCCACGGTTGCACACTATGAGCGCGTGCCTTCAAAATGGGTCACAAGGGTGGCAACATGACAAGAACATTAAGCGCTGACTTCCAAATGGTAGCGTTAAACTCCTGGTCAACGCCCATGACTCACCCCTTCGGCATCCTTGTACTTTCCAAGGGCCTCTAACTGACCCCAGAACCCTTCAAGGCGTCCCCCCGAGAAGAGGCTACCAACCTGCCTACGAGAGGCCAAATCAGAAATCCGAACATACTGTTTGCTGATAGTGCCAATGCAGGGCCCAACGTGTACAACTTATCTCCCAAATCAGCGAGCATCAACAACAATATGCCGAAGGCACGTAGTACCAATGAGACCGTGGAGACACATGCACAAACGCGAATCAATTTAATCAATGCAATAAAACATGAACCGCGTCTGAGTATTCCGCGCTGGTGTCATACCGCATACCTGACATTTCACGATCATTGCCAATTCGCACGAAGATGTGTTGTGCCGCTGGCTTAGCGCATCAGCCGGTAAGTTGTCCCAAAGTATCTGGACACCTTGAGCTGCAGGACTGCGCCATCTCAGATTTTACCAGCAGGCCATCTCCATGCTGCGGTCGGATTTGAACAATGAATCCGCGGTGCAAGTTGCAATTCTTTTGAGACCATCTGGCTGAAGTTGCCCTGTCAGCACTAAATCTTCGTCAGGTTTCTGGCACGAGTCTCATCACGCAGGCAACCCTGCAGCGACATGTTGATGAAAAGCGAGTGCGAGTCGGTTTGCACAATTGTGGATAAGGACGGGTCGAGCAAACATAATTTGCATAGAGTTGACCATACCTGGAAAAGTAAGCGCTACTTCATAGAGCCGATGCGCGACTGCCTCTCACTTCTGGACCCTGTTCGAAGGCATGCTGAGGCGTGTTAAGGATGTCCTCCTGTGTCTGGCACAGTTCCTTTAGTGCTTCCATGGCCGCAAGACTGCCCCCCTGGTGTTGCGATCCAACGCTCGTGTCAGCCTCAAGAAGGCTCCAAAGCAGCTCAGACAATCCAAAACGGCTGAAGGAAGCCCAACTACCATCCAAGACGGCCCAACAAAACCCTCAAAGGCTCAAACACGTTCCCAAGATGCCCCAAGAGGCCCACGACAGACGCTCGAAGAGACCTCCAGCGAGGCCCGAAGAGGCGAAGACAATTGAAACACCTGAGGAAAGTACATGCGCGTTGCTCCAAAGGCCTTTCGGCTTCAGATCGCCTCGAGGAAGCCTCAGAGAGCCATCAAAATACACCAAGACGGCCAAACAATGCCAAAAGAGAGCGCACATATGGCCCTAAGACTGCTCGCGAAACCTCCAAGACGGCCTTAGAGAGCTCAAATACCTAAGGCCCGAAGTCGAGTCTAAGACTACGTGATTTCAAACCGCACGCTGAACTGGCTTGGATCCAAAACTCACCCTAAGACCGTCCGAAGATGACCCGACGAGCCCCCGAACACTACAAGATCGCCCATCTCCCCAAGAGGCTCCAGGCAGCCTCCAGGAGACGCTCCAAGAGACCTCCAACAAGGAGCGGCCAAACCAATTGGAACACCTAAAGACCAATGCGCGTCGGGAAAACCTCAGAAAGCTCAAATCCATGTGGCATGGCATGGATCATTTCCGTTGAAATCAGATGTGACGGACGCGCGCGCACATGCACAGCGCTGGCCAAAATATATGACCCACTTGGTTCCTCGTGTAAAAAACCAACGCGCGTTCGGCCAAATCCCCAGATATATGTCTCACGGCCCTGCAGAGAGGTTGAAAACAGCACGCCGAACTAATTCTCGCGCACAAAGAGACCTAAACTCCGAACCCACCTCAGTACATATTATGTCCACCTCAGAATGGGCATCAAAACATCGAGATGAAATGTTGATACGGGATTATGGGCAATTGTACAACACTACAATTGTTTGTCCTACAGTTCGGTACGTCAGTTTATACAATCGTGCAAACGTTCTATAGTTCAATAAGCTCCCCCACACACACACACACACTTGTAAGTTGTGGCATGTATGGGACAAAGCAAAGTCATTCAAGCAGGAGACCCAAGGAAGCCCCGACGAGGCCTCCAAGAGGCCCCCAGAAGCTCCGAGGAGACTCCAGGAGTGCCACAAGAGGCCCCCAAGAGGCCTCCTATCTCCGAGATGCTCCCCTGACGGCCCAAGAGGCCCCCAAGACGGCCCCCAAAACGACCCCCAAATACGGCCCCCAGAGGACCCCAAGACGGTCCAGCAGACACGCAAGACGCCAAAGACGGCCTCCAAGACCGCCCCGAAGCGACCCAAGAAAGCCCCGGATCGGCCCAGAGAGGCCCCCAAGACGGCTTCCGACGGCGTCAGGCGGACCAGGAACGCCTCAGGCGGCCAACGAGGAGCCTCCCAAGGCCCCCACGAGGTCCAAAGAATCTCCGAAGAGGCCCCCAAGCAGAACCCCAGAAGCTCCCAGGAAGCCCCGAGAGTGCCCCAACCTCCTCCTCCTCCTCCCCCTCCTCCCCCTCCTCCTCCTCCTCCTCCTCCTCCTCCTCCTCCTCCTCCTCCTCCTCATCATCATCATCATCATCATCATCATCGTTCTTCCTTTTCCTCCTCTTCGTCTTTCTCCCCCACGTGTTCCCCGAAGTGTTTCAACAACGGCTTGGGGGAACAAGTAGTCCGATAGCTTGGCCAAGCTCTGGACACAGCGTTCGGCCACGTAGGTTCTTCCAATAAGCAGAGGGCGGCGGTGATTCGCCGTAGGCGTCATCGATACAGGTACCACACCCAGCTTCAGAGTTTGCTGATGCTGTCAAGACGGTGACGCGATGATTTGTTGATGGGGTCCCCATGATCAACTGATTGTGTCTCGATAGGTCCCCAGTGGGATTTTGATGATCCGATGTTGCGCTGATGGTGACAGTTGGCGTTTCATGTTTTCAGATCATGCTCCGAAGCGTTGTTGACAAAGCCCCGACAAATCCTAGGTACTTACGCTACAGACTCGGAAATATCTATCCTTACGGCACAAGAGCACCCCAAGAAAACCGAAAGACAAACGAAACCTTCCGCACCCGACCCCGTTCGCCTCGCCTCGAGCATCCACATGTCAGGAGAGGAGTTGAGGGAGGTGGCCGGGCCCGCTGTGGTGCTGGAACTTCCGATATTGACACTTTGTTTGTGTGTCCTCATGCTTCCCATCCTCCCGTCTATCCTCCCCCCACCTCCTCCTCCTCCCACCTCCTCCTCCCTCCTCTTTCTTCCTTCCGCATCCCTCCTCCCTCCTTCCCCTCCCCTTTCTTCCTCCTCGCCCCCTCCTCCCTGATTGTTCCTCTTCTGTATTCCCTCCTCCCGTCCCTTCCCCCCTCCTCCCCCCTCCTCGCGCCTCCTCCCTCCTCCTTCCTCTTTCCGTCCTGGGAAGACCCCCCCCCGTAGAACCATAGCTTTGGTCAGCTTTTCCACAGTTCCGTGGATAACATGATGCTTCGCGCGCGGAGCCCCGCGGATCCGATTCCCCCTGGGTCCGGGATGTTAATGATTGTTATAGGTTCATTCCCCCCAAAACAAGGGTCCACTGGCTTTCCACACACGAATTGGATCCGCGCAAGACAGAAACAGGATCTACGATACTGTCGCAAATCCGACAGGGGGTCCAATTAGATTCAGCAGTGTTCTCATATGTTTAATCCAAGAGGAAAACACTTTCGGCTTGGAGAGGTAGTGCAACCATCGCTCACACAAATCCTTATGTAAGGCGGCATTGGACCATGTGGCGGCGTAGAGAGAAAACCTTTCCGAGCCTGTAGTAAGATTCGAGTACCGCCCTGAACACTTGATATCTGTATCCCAGTTGTGCGTATCAATAGGTCACACGAGAGACGCGTGATGTCCGACTGGTGGGACTCGAATGCGAAACATAATTCTATACTGCACGCAGACTGATCTGTAGCCGTACATAGCTACTAAGTCCATCAACCGCCGCGAAAAATCCCGATGCGAAACCACAACACAACACGGCACCCACGACACCGCAACACCACGCCGGCACGACACCACGGCACCACGACGCGCCGCGAAACAAAGGCACCGCGGCATAGAGATACCGAGGCGCCCCGACACCGCAACACGATGACAAACAAGCTTGCTCCTTCATGCTCGGGGGGACAATCAATCACGACAGGGCGGAGGTTGTGGGAATATCTAGATTGTCTCGACGCGGAGGCGTTCCGAAATGGTGTGCCTGACGAAAATATGCACAGTACCTGGCACTTCAATCTTGCGCACAGATTGGGATACCACCCTCCTCCGTGGCGTGATCAACCCTCACCCTCAGCATTCTGCCGTTTCCTCCGCCTCCCTCACCCTCCTCACCCAGCCTCCTTGTCCTCCACCTCTTTGCTTGACCCACGATGACCATGTGCATCCTCAACACATGCGCGTGAACCTAGTTTTCGAGGCCGAATGTTTGCAACCAGCCAGCACAGGAACCTTAGCCAATACCAACATCACGCACAACTTGCTTCCTTCCCAGGCAAGCATATGCGTCTTGCCAATGGTCGGTCCCAAAACTCATCTCTCTTCCAAAGAAATGGTCGCGAAAACCGTAACGATGCCAGGCAGTAAGCGGTCACGAAAGCCATCAGGAAACTAGAACAAAGCGCGCGCGCTTAGCTTCTAGCGCAACACATGTCAACGTCTCGACACAATGGATGCGTATCGCCACGTCTGGCTCGCAAGTGCCTCGAACCGTTCGAGATGTGTGTCGCACTCCTCCGATTACGCACTCGCCCTCTACAATATATGCTTAAGTCGGGCGTGTCCCCCTACTGGGGGGTGTTGGGCGTTTTTTTATACCAGAAAAATACACCCAACATGCTCAAACATAGTCCAAAAATATTCCCCAGGCTATTTTTTACTATGGTTTAATTTCCCTCCTGTAGAAGGACAGGCCCGACTTAAATCTATGCTCCGTCTCTTCTCCCCTCTCCTTCCTCCTCCCTCTGGCTCCTCCCTGCTGCTCGCTGCCCCTCTCTCCTCGCTCATTCTCTCCTATCGCATGCGTCCTTCCTGCTCTCGGGTTCCCGTGGAGCCATTTATCAGACAATCCTAAGGGCCTCAGAGGCACACAGAGAAAGAAGGCGAGGTCTTCAGGATACCATAGTTGTCCGTCAGTATTAAAGGACTCGACCTTCCTGGAGGCCTCTAGGAAGCCTCTTGGGAGCATCTTGGAAGCCTCTTGGGGCCGTCTAGGGGCCATACTGAACTGGCTTGGCGGCCTCGAACGTCCTCTTGAAACCATCTTGGACCGTCTCGGGGCCATCTTGAAGGATCACGGGGTCCCCAGTGGACCGTCTTGGAGCTCCCTCGGGCTCCTCTGGAGCGTTCTTGGCCCGTCTGACGCTTTCAGAAGCTGTCTGAATGGCACTCTTCAAGGTCTCTGGAGCCGTCATTGGGGACTCTGAGGCGGTTTGGGGGCCGTCCTGTGGCAGTGTGGGACTCCTCTTGAGGCAGGCTTGGACAATTGGATGACCATCCAGAAGTCTCAAGAAGCCCGTCTGAAACGAAAACCAATTTTTTCACAAACGGATAGTTTCCCTATGGTTTGTCACTGACTTGGGCCGATTATGGCCAGCATTGGTTGGAAAAAGAAATATTATATTATATATATGTTCCGCATGCGTTTGACCAAGATCTTGTATTCTTTGGATTCAGTACGGCTTCTCAAAGGCCAGAGAGATCGATTAGACGCTTTTCATTGCAAATGCATCCAGAAAGTATTGGGTATCCCGCCAACTCCATCGTGCTAGACAAAGCCGGAGCGAAGCCACTCTCTGACATATTTGAAGGGGCCCCAGGACACACAAATAAATACACACAAATAAAAGTATTCACCATATTTTCCCATATTTTCTGGGTTTCTGTCTTCCCCCCCACTTCCCATATTCTCGCATGTTTTCCTGGGAATCGAGGATTAATTGTGTCTGTGTTTTTTTCCTCCTGAATATTAGCTGACAAACAGACGGCGCTGCACACCAAGATCGCAAATGGACGAGTGATTCGTGCCTGGCGAAATCTATACCTTGCAACGTTGACGTTGTTGGGCCACATCGGCCTATGAGCTTCTCTCGTAACTATAGGCAGGATCTCCTCTTCCTCCTCTTCCTCCTCCTCGTCTTGCAGTCGGGCACTTCTGTTTTCTGCTTCACAGTCGTGGGGCGCTTTGTTTTCCGTGCCTCTTTCAATAACTACCGAAGGGCTGCCGATTGCGCGCTCTTCTGCCCACGCGTCCTTCCGGATGCTTGGCTCTGTGGTGGTGGTGGTGGTAAAAGCCTCCTGGAGCCAGAACCCCTTGAACAATCAGCAAATGTGCCTCTCGAGGCCCTTTCGCGGGCCAAGTTGGACCCGTTCGCGCCGTCCTTGGGGTCTCTTCTGGCCAGCTTGCGGCCATCTAAGGAGCCGATTTGACCATCTGTTAGTCCGTCTTGCCAACCCCTTTGCGTCCTCTGGGACCGCATGCGGGGACCGCCACCCATTTTGGCGCACCCCTCACACGGTTCGTGGCCCCACAGGGAGCTCCACCGAAGGCCCCAGTGGCACAGGCCGCACGCTGGGACCGCCACCCATTTTGGCACACCCCTCACACGGTTCGTGGCCCCACAGGGAGCTCCACCGAAGGCCCCAGTAGCACAGGCCGCATGCGGGGACCGCCACCCATTTTGGCACACCCCTCACACGGTTCGTGGCCCCATCGGGAGCTCCACCGAAGGCCCCATTGGCACAGGCCGCACGCGGGGACCGCCACCCATTTTGGCACACCCCTCACACTGCTCGTGGCCCCACAGGGGGCTCCACCGAAGGCCCCAGTGGCACAGGCCGCACGCGGGAACCGCCACCCATTTTGGCACACTCCTCACACGGTTCGTGCCCCCACAGGGAGCTCCACCGAACGCCACAGTGGCACAGGCCGCACGCGGGGACAGGCACCCATTTTGGCACACCCCTCACACGGTTCGTGCCCCCACAGGGAGCTCCACCGAAGGCCCCAGTTAGCACAGGCCGCACTCGGGGGACAGGCACCCATTTGGCACACCCTTCAACAGGTCCGTTGGCCCCACAGGGAGCTCCACGAAGGCCCCAGTGGGCACATGCCGCACGCGGGGGGACCCATCAATTTGGACACACCCTCACACTCCGTCCCCCGGTGCGACGGAAGGTTCGTGGCCCCAACAGGGAGCTCCACCGAGGCACAGTAGCACAGGCCGCACGCGGGGACAGGCACCCATTTTGGCACACCCCTCACACGGTTCGTGGCCCCACAGGGAGCTCCACCGAAGGCCCCAGTGGCACATGCCGCACGCGGGGACCCCACCAATTTTGGCACACCCCTCACACTGTTCGTGGCCCCACAGGGAGCTCCACCGAAGGCACCAGTGGCACAGGCCGCACGCGGGGACCGCCACCCATTTTGGCACACCCCTCACACGGTTCGTGGCCCCACAGGGAGCTCCACCGCAGGCCCCAGTGGCACAGGCCGCACGCGGGGACCGCCACCCATTCTGGCACACTCCTCACACGGTTCGTGCCCCCACAGGGAGCTCCACCGAAGGCCCCAATGGCACGGGCCGCACGCGGGGACCGCCACCCATTTTGGCACACCCCTCACACGGTCCGTGCCCCCACAAGGAGCTCCACCGAAAGCCCCAGCGGCACAGGCCGCACGCGGGGACCGCCACCCATTTTGGCACACCCTCACACGGTTCGTGGCCCCACAGGGAGCTCCACCGAAGGCCCCAATGGCACAGGCCGCATGCGGAGACCGCCACCCATTTTGGCACACCCCTCACACGGTTCGTGGCCCCACAGGGGGCTCCACCGAAGGCCCCAGTGGCACAGGCCGCACGCGGGGACAGCCACCCATTTTGGCACACCCCTCACACGCTCGTGCCACGTAAGAGGAGGTCCACCGAACAAGGCCCCAGCGGCCACAGGCCGCCCGCGGGGACCGCCATCCATTTTGGCACACCCTCACACGGTTCGTGAACCCACAGGGAGCCCCCCGAAGGCCCCAGTGGCACAGCCCGCCACGCGGGGACCGCCACCCATTTTGGCAAATCCTCACACGGCTTGTGTGCTATACCAAAGGCCCCGTGGCACACAGGCCGCACGCGGGAACCGCCACACATTTTGGCCCGCCACACATTTTGGTACACCCCCTCACACGCGTTCGAGGGCCTGGAGGGAGCTCCACCGAAACGCCACGCTGGCACAGGGGTGGGGGGGGGGGGGCCGCACGCGGGGCGCGCCACCAATTTTGGGCACACCCCTCACACGGTTAGTGGCCCCCACACGGGGAGTCCACCGAAGGCCCCAGTGGCACAGGCCGCAGCGGGGACCGCCACCCATTTGGCACACCCCTCACCACGGTTCGTGCGCTTCGTGTCCCCCACAAGGAGCTCCACCGAAGGGCCCCAGTAGGCACAGGCCGCACGAGCTCCACCGAAGGCCCCAGTGGCACAGGCCGCACGCGGGGACCGCCACCCATTTTGGCACACCCTTCACACTGTTCGTGGCCCCACAGGGAGCTCCACCGAAGGCCCCAGCGGCACAGGCCGCATGCGGAGACCGCCACCCATTTTGGCACATCCCTCACACGGTTCGTGGCCCCACAGGGAGCTCCACCGAAGGCCCCAGTGGCACAGGCTGCACGCGGAGACCGCCACCCATTTTGGCACACCCCTCACACGGTTCGTGCCCCCACAGGGAGGTCCACCGAAGGCCCCAGCGGCACAGGCCGCACGCGGGGACCGCCACCCATTTTGGTACACCCCTCACACGGTTCGAGGCCCCACAGGGAGCTCCACCGAAGGCCACACTGGCACAGGCCGCACGCGGAGACCGCCACCCATTTTGGCACACCCCTCACACGGTTCGTGGCCCCACAGGGAGCTCCACCGAAGGCCCCAGTGGCACAGGCCGCACGCGGGGACAGGCACCCATTTTGGCAATCCCTCACACGGTTCGTGCCCCCACAAGGAGCTCCACCGAAGGCCCCAGTGGCACAGGCCGCACGCGGGGACCGCCACCCATTTTGGCACACCCCTCACACGGTTCGTGGCCCCACAGGGAGCTCCACCGAAGGCCTCAGTGGCACAGGCCGCACGCGGGGACAGGCACCCATTTTGGCACACCACTCACACGGTTCGTGCCCCCACAAGGAGCTCCACCGAAAGCCCCAGCGGCACAGGCCGCACGCGGGGACCGCCACCCATTTTGGCACACCCTCACACGGTTCGTGGCCCCACAGGGAGCTCCACCGAAGGCCCCAGTGGCACAGGCCGCACGCGGGGACCGCCACACATTTTGGTACACCCCTCACACGGTTCGAGGCCCCACAGGGAGCTCCACCGAACGCCACACTGGCACAGGCCGCACGCGGGGACCGCTACCCATTTTGGCACACTCCTCACACGGTTCGTGGCCCCCACAGGGAGCTCCACCGAAGGCCCCAGCGGCACAGGCCGCACGCGGGGACCGCCACCCATTTTGGCACATCCCTCACACGGTTCGTACCCCCACAGGGAGCTCCACCGAAGGCCCCAGCGGCACAGGCCGCACACGGAGACCGCCACCCATTTTGGCACACCCCTCACACGGTTCGTGGCCCCACAGGGAGCTCCACCGAAGGCCCCAGTGGCACAGGCTGCACGCGGGGACTGCTACCCATATTGGCACACCCCTTACGCGGTTCGTGGCCCCACGGGGAGCTCCACCGAAAGCGGCACCCACAATGCGTTACTCGCAGCTGCATATGGTTGGTTCCTTCGCCAGGCGAATTGTTTAGTCAGAGTGATCTTTTGAAGACTCCTGCTGTAGACGGACACGCCCGACTTAGCTTTAGCCTCTGCAGGACGGGGCGGGGGACGCGGGCGTCTGGGGACGCGGGCGTCGCCCGCGGCGCCGGCGTCTTCAGGAGGGGCCGTTGAGCAAGGAACGAGCGTGCCGCCATTTCTATACGCCTACCACGAAATATTCTTAGAACCCCAAACAGTTCTAAGAACAATCACAATGTTCTTAGAACATAAGCACGATGCATTAAACAAGACGATCTCAACAAGAAATGCTCCAAGAAGATTTCGTGCAGACCACAAAAGGGTCTTAGAACATTATGTGGTGGGCCGAAAGGCGAGCTAGGACGCTTCGCCACTGCTTGAGGGACGCGGGCGTCGTACGCGGCGCCGGCGTCTTCAGGAGGGGCCGCTCGGAGGCGGCAAGGGCGAATAGCCCAGGGGGGAGCAACACATGCATCCAGGGGCGCAGATGGTCCATGCCTCCGGCGAGGCCCCCGGGCGAATGCGTGCCACGCCCGCCCCTGCGCTATTCGCCCCTGTCGCCACCTCCGAGACGCGGGCGTCGCACGCGGCGCCGGCGCCTTCAAGAGGGGCCGCGAGCACGCGGCGCGCCCTCGGATTTGGACGCCCGAAATGGGCATGGAAACAATGGGCACAATACCCAACAGCAAATGTTGTCCCGAACCAACAACGGCCGCTGTTTGGCAGGCGGCCTTCTGTCTCAAATGGACACGATCCGCGGCGACGCCGACAGCGAACCCTGTTCAAAATGAACAAGAACTGCTGTCAGTCTTTGTACCCATTCTTTCCGTGCCCACGTCGGTTGTCCCAATCGGAGGCCCCGACTCGCGCTGGGGGCGGTACCGCGGCAGCGGCGCGCCCTCCCTGCGCCTCCACGAGGGGGCGGCCTCGCCTGCGCGGATGGGCCTCCGTGGCGGTGCCGCGAGGCGCTCGATCGGCGGCGAGCGAGGCAGGAGGAGGAGGAGGAGGAGGAGGAGGAGGAGGAGGAGGAGGAGGAGGAGGAGGAGGAGGAGGAGCAGGGGGAGGAGGAGGAGGGGGAGGATGAGGGGGAGGATGAGGGGAGAGGAGGGGGAGGAGAGGGGGGAGGGATGAGGGGGAGGAGGAGGAGGGGGAGGGAGGGGGAGGCGGGAGGCAGGAGGAGGAGGAGGGAGGGGAGGAGGAGGAGGAGGGGAGGGAGGAGGAGGGGAGGAGGAGGAGGAGGAGGAGGAGGAGGCCCTCTCGTAAGGCGGCGGGGCTTCTCAGAAGCCCTCGTGCCTTCTGAGAGCTTTGGCCCATCTTCGGGGACAGGTCAGAGAACTTGTCTGAAGGTCGAGGGACTTCCGAGTTTCGAGAAGGCCCGCCCCTCCTCACTTTCCCCCTCGCTCGTCGCCGAGTCATGCACCGCTCGGTGCGATCGAAACGAGTGCGGAAAGATCGGGGACGAGGACCGATGGCAGTTCTTGCTTTGCACACTGTGAACAAGGATGCTATGGGCGTCGCCGCAGGAGCTGTCCGCAGGAGACAAAGGTCGTCTGCCCAACGGCGGCGGCTGCTGGATTTGAACAACATTTGCTGTTGGGCATCGTGCTCCTTGGGGATACAAGAAAGTACCGACACCGCTACTCAACGGACCTCTCCCAGGGTGCGTTCTGACCGTAACTTCGAGGCGACTTCAGCGGTGGGAGCGAGGGCCTCCCAGGATGCCCCCAAAGGGAAAAACGAGGGAAGGGCAGCGGTATGGGCACCTCGTCCTCCTCTCCTGGACATTTCTGCTGGTGGGCATCGTGCTCCCTCTTTCCGTGCCCATCTCGAGAGCGCCGCACCGAGGGATCGACGCCCCTCGCCTCCACGGGGCCTGGCCCGCGCGGTGGCTCCGCCACGACGGTGCCGCACGGTCATTATCACGGTGAGCGGCGAAGGGTACGCCACGGAAATGTGTACACGGACACCCTCCGACGAACTTTGC